AGACACAGGCAGACACACACACACACACAGACACACACACACACACACACAGACACAGACACACACACACACACGGGTTAGTCTACAGAGATAAACACACACATCAGAAGACAGAGATCATCAGGGAAATGTGTCTGACCTTCTCTTCCGCCAGAGGGACGCATCTCACTGCAGACGAGAGCAGAAACAGACAGAAATTAAACTCTTTCAGACTGAGCTTGGATTATGATCCACATGGAATAAGAGAACAAAATATATTTTTGTGCCTTTGGATGTCAGAATCAGAATGCAAATCATTTTTATAGAATACTGTCGTCAAAGACGCCATTCGAAGCTGATCGCAGACGTTTAAAAAGACAGACTATGGATGAAAACTGCTACTTTTAAAGCATACATTCTTACTATATGGTTAGGGTTAAGGTTACTTGCATTATGCATAATTTATTGTTATTATAATAATAAGTACACCTAACTTGTGTAACAAGGACACCTTAAAATAAAGTGTTACCCTAGTTTTTATTCATTATTATTTCAGTTTTTAGTAGTTAACGATAATAACCCATGTGAGAGCAGAACTGCTGCTTTTTAAACTCATCTCTAAATATCCTGATTCTGTCTCATTAACACTCATTTAACGCGCATATTAATGAAGCGGCTCATTAATAAACATGCATATTAATGCTGCTGTCTGAGGGAATATTGTCAGGCGTTTATATGAGTGACCCTGCGTTTCATTCAAGTGTTAATCATCATCATTAGTGTTTATTAAGGCGAGGTGAATTGGGTGAAAATCATTACTTACCCAGTTGATTGATTACATTGATAACTTGATTGCAAACATTTTTTGTATTGCAAGTGTTCTAAAATGTTAGGTTTAAACATGCAAATGAGGAATTATTTAATGAAGTATGCGCTAAATTGCATACATTTCTAGCACAAAAATCTGAACACTGGATGAAGTCCAAAATTCCTGTTTAATTTTTATTTTTTACATATTACAGTCAAATGTTTTTACAGAGGGAATCTCATGTTTGTCATAATTCAGGAAAGTACTTAGAACAGACAGAAAACTATATATTTTCACAGTGTTGTATATAATCAAGCAAATTACATATGAACAAACCTTCAGGATACAGACAGTATGTAAAGGTGTGTGTAAGTGCTGCTGAAGTGGAGACTTACAGGAGAAAACGCCTTTATAAATATGTTTTGTAGTTGAAATCTATTGACACGAATAGATAAAGTGCAATAAAAGAAACACTTAACAGTGTCTTTAGGATGTTTTCTTTCCACTAGTCTGAAAAAAACCCACTATGAACAACCAAAAAGCCCTAAATCTCAAACTGCACAGGTGTTTTTGCTGCAGTTAATCTGAATAAACAGCCTGCTGCTGTAGTTCTGCGTTCACCTGACAATAATCCCAGATTAACTGCTATTCCTGTCTCACCTGATCAGCTCAGACTAAACCAACAGAGCATGACATTAATAAAGCAGCCGTTTTAATGTGCATTCATTTTCATGTATTTTATTGGGTAATGTGCATTCATTTATTTTCTTGTGTGTGTGAGAGATTCTTATTTTAGGTAGATATGTCTGTGTGCATGGATTGAATTGTGGTTGCTGCTGTAACAATATCATTTCTTGTGAAGGATTAATAAAGTATTTAATAATAAACGGTGGTCTGATCGATTATGTAACGCGAGCCGCTGCTGCTGCTGTGTGAAATAAACCCACAATCACGTCAGATCTGCATCCAGATGTAAAGCAGACTAGAAGCTTCCTCACCTGCAGCGCAGAACACGCACGCCGCCGACCAGACCGCCAGCACGCGCATCACGCACACGCACGGGCACGCGCACAGCAGATGATGAAGATGATGAAGATGAAGATGATTTGATCGTGTCTGTTTGTGGGGAGAGACTACAGAGAAATCCAGCTGGAGGACATGATGAGCTCTGCGCGCTCCCGCGGCGTGCCCGCGCACAGATAGAGCCAGTGCGCGTGTCCGTGCGCGCTCACGGCTGTCTGGGGAGATTAGTGTTAGAAAGAAAATAACAATTAATCAAAATCCACAGTAAAGCACTAATATTTTACTAGACACTTATTACAGCGTTTGAACCGCATTATCTGAAAATCACTTGCTTCTATTGTTTGTTTTTTGCACTTCAGTTCTGAAAAAGCACCACTTCACATTTCTCTACAAAGCCACATTAATTCATAAACAGAAATAGATTTTTGATTCGGAATATTGTCACAATAACAAGGCTGCAGTACAATGTCATACAACACCATACGTTCTCTAGTTAATGCATTTGCTAACATAAACTAACAATAAACATTTCACAGCATTTGTGAATCTTTCCTATAATATCTAATTAATACAAATACAATTAACTAAACAATAGAACTTGATTTTAATATACTGTTTGTTCGTATTAACACATTTTTAGTAATTTTGTTGCGCTTGTTATTTGTTGCTTCATTTTATATAGTCTATAATACAGACTATACAAATAAATAATGCATATTAAATAAAAAGTATATTTTTTAACAATTTTATTCATTAGTTTTATTTTAGCACTTAAACTACACAAAACTGGGACATCTTGTCTTGGCGACTACAAAGTAAATACGTTTGCTAAAATAAGTAAGTTTTATAGTTTTAAATAAAATGAGTTTTGTTTCAGACAAGAAAGTGTTTTTCTCTTTTTAATCGTTTTAGTTTATGATGATAGCCCTGGTATAGATCTAGTTTCTGAATAAAATATCTGGATTTAACGTTTAAAGATTTAAAGAAACTAGCAAGTAATATGAGAAAGAAATCAGCCAATATTTGATGTCCTCATCAGACAGAGACCTGAGCGATTCATAAATACATAAAAATCATCTTCATTATTAATGCAAAAAACACACTTCCAGCAGCTCATGTACCTACACACAGTCTCTCTCTCACACACACACACACA